GGTGTAAAAAGAAAAGAGGGGGTGCCAAAAGTAAGCCTGTACAGGCCCAGCCTAGAAACAACTTCATCTTCTTCCTCAGTTCAAAAACACGCGCGTTCTGTGTATCAAATGCTATCTCCTGATTCCTTGCTTTTTTGACAAAACTCATAACATGAAACTTGTAGAGCATCAAACAACGAATCTAACCATATAAAAAACTTAAGCTAACTCTCAAAGACCAGAGAGAATTTCTCTGGCCCTAATTCTTAACCTAGTTTTTTCATAAAGTTCATGAACGAAATTCTCCTAGCATGATTAATATAAATGAAAACTAAGCACATGTATGGTTTCAGGGCTATGAATACAACATATTTCACAAACCTAAGTCTAACTATTCCTAAATAGAGAGATAGAAGTTCATGAAATACCTGTTTCAGTTGACTTCGAGTTGGACAATGCAGCAACTTTCAAGGGTGCTTGAGGTTCTTTTGAGCTTGCCTGAGGTCCACTGAAGCTTTTCCAATGCTTGGTTTGTTTTGAAGTAGCCTGAATCGTGCTATAAAACTCAACCTGCAAAGCTTCCAAACAAAAATGGCAATGTGTGTTAATGGAGTTACAGCAACTTGTGGATGGTCTGAATAGCTCAGGTATGTTGGTTGGAAGGTGTTTGAAGTAGCTTTGGACAAAACGCACGATGGAATTTGATGGTGGCTTGCAAAATGCAGAATTGGCCTTGTTTTGCAAGAAAATGGGGATTTTGTGCACAAGGAGTTTTGAGAGGTCAAGGGCTCGTGCTTCTTGCTTGCTAGGGTGTATGAAACTTGTTTGACAACTTTGTATTTGTTGGTTTTATCAGATGTGTGGTCTCTTCTGTTTTTTGCAAGTTTTCTCCTTTTTTAAGCAAAAGAGTAGAAGTGAGGTTATAGACTTGTACAGGCCATCCTATCACCTTGCACACAACCCTCTTGGCCCCTCTAATTAGTGGATTTTGTTTTCAGCATAAGATCTGTTTCAATACTCTAGGATGTTGTTTTGACATAAAGCAAAGTTCAAGCAAAAATGGCAATGTTACTTTTTCCATTTAAGGCTTAATCTAGTGTACAATACCCTAATGACCAAGACAATGCCTTGGCTCAATGGATTTGCATTAAATTATGGAGTACAAACTGGTTTAGAGGCCTGTAATTATGAACCAAGCTAGCTAGATCAGAATTGCAACTTGGTATGAACATGTATTGGCCATGGTTGCAAAGTGAGTTTTTGCCAACTTCAAGCATTCGATTATCCCTAACCACAAAGGTGTTTGAGGAGTTCTTGGACAATTTGGAAAGCTTGCAACATGTACTACAATCCATCTTTGAAATGCAACTTGAAACTCCAAGTGGAACTATGTGAAAAATGGCCAAGAAGATGGGTCAAAATCCTGCCTAAATTAGGGCAAAATTTCTCTAAGTTAAAAGTTTTAGGTACCCTTGTTCCAAAAATCATAACTTGAGATCCAAGCTTCTTTTGAGAAAACTTTGTGAATCAAAGTTGTAGACTTTGTGATGGACTACAACTTTCATATTATAAGTTTTGTTTGAATCCATTTGCATCTTGGTGAAAATATGGGGTAAAGTTAGGAAAAAATAAGAAAATTTCATAACTTAGAAAATTTCTAAGTTATGAAATTTTTCCATTTTAAACCCTAATTTGCATTTTTGGGTTTCTTGATGAACACGTTTCATAATTTGACATGTCTTGATGAAAAATGACCCTTGGCACTTGATCTTGACAAAAAGTCAAAGTTTGGCTTTTCAGTATACAGTCAAATTTTGATCAGTTGACTGAAAAATTCATCTGTCAATCCTATGCATTTGAGATCTTTTGAACTTGTTGAATGGTTCAAGACCATGTCATTGAGTCCTTGAGTCCATGTTTGAGCTTGATTTGCCATTGGCTAGGTCAAACAGTCAAAAATTGCCTCTGTACAGTCAAAACCCTAAAAATGACCATTTTGCCCTTTTGATGATCTGATCAAATTTCTTGTGGAATTATGGTCCAAACTTGATCAAATGGTTCATATGAGTTCATAATGTTGATGTGGGTCAAATTTCATGAGGTTTGACTGTCAATTGGCCACAATTGACTTTTTCCCCAATACAGCTGATTTTTAGGTCCACTGTCCAATTGACTGGGCAAAAATTTGAATCAAGGCTTGAAACTTGGTATGGGAAAACTTGTGAGTCCAACATGAAGTATGAAAGTCACTTTGGGCATTGTAGGTTAAAACATCACTGTGCAAACTCAAACCCTAATTTAGGCCAACAGTACAAGGAAGTGTCTTGAGCAGAGCAAACCCTAGCTTGATCTTGAGTTCCAAAAGTCTTGTGATGAAAAATGTTGATGAAATGAGAGGGAAAATTTTGGGGTACAACACATGACATGCAGGAGAAATTTACTAAGAGATGGAATTCATAAACATCATATTTCCACATTCCTATTAACAAGATGACCATCACCCTATATGATGTCTCGTGCCTCCTTCATCTTACCATCAGGGAAAATTATTGAGCCAAGGAAGGCTCGGTAGAGAGAAAGTCGTCGAGATGATGGTCACCCATTTGGGAGCTGACCCAACTAAGGTTGCAAATGAGGTATCTGACACCAGAGGTGCTCATATTAGGTTTAAATTTTTGGAAAAGCTCTATAAAGACCTTGTACTCGAAGTTGGGCAAGGTTGTCATTGGAAGAAAAAGTAGATGATAAGAAGTTGCACACTACTTACGGTAATTTACTGTTCCTAATATTTTCATATTCATTTGTTACACTTGTTATTAATATTGTATTTGAACTATTTTTAGAGATGGATCATCTCTCACTTCCCTCACATCACTTGGTGGGAAGTTGTGCCTACCTACATTGGGGATTGGCCATGTGTTGTCGCATTTATCCCGTACAAGGGGAATAATGTGATCGAGCCATTCATAGTGTATCTTGATCATCGTGTATCATATGACATTGCCTTTTTTCCCATATGGCGGTCACTGTGAGACGTCAGCTGGACATCATCTCCTTATACTCTGACATGCAGATTAACTCTGATGTGTCCTTATCTTCTTGGACGAGTGATTCGCCACTTTTCCTATTTGCAGATTATTCTGAGACCCCCTTTGAGTCTGCTCCTCCCATCGTCTGCCGCAAAGATCTTGATGTGATACTTGAGAACTTTGAGAGTTATTTTATATTAGAGGAGTATCGCAAGGTGTTAACTCCTATACATTGGGCTTATGCAAACGACTACGTGACATGGTTCTATAAGGCGTCACACCCTTTCATGACATCAGATGCTCATAGAAGATCACCTAGGCCAGCTAATCAAGAGGTACTTGAGGCTATGGATTACCATCTTGGGAACGTGTCAACAGTCTATCGATTTAGTATGGAGATGGGGAGATCAGACATTGAGACAATACTTTTTGAGGAAGGCAACACCCAATTCGCCATCGTGGAAAGCATAATTGCTTAGACATATAATGTCTTGTAGTATAGGCGGAAGAGAAGCCAATGGGTTAGACATACCCAATAGTTTATTTTTAGTTGTATTTTATTGTTTTTTCGGAACAAGTCATGTATTCATTACAAATTTTAATTTTACTTTAATTAATGTGTGACTATTTTAATGTATGGTTGGATCAATTAGCGTATCAATTTTTTAATTTATGGACTAAAATCACCTAAAGTATGAGTTGTTAAAATTTTTTAATGTTGAGACAATGATGTTGCCTTGAAAGCATCCCGGGGGGTTTTCAAGATGTATCTCCGAAATATCCTGTGTCTTATGCATTTAAATGACATCTGGAGATATTCGGAGATGCCCAAATGATATTCGAAGATGCATATCTGAATCATATTTTATTCAAAATGAGTTGAATATTCTAAAAAAATAAATTTATATGATTTTAGATGCGTCCGAAAATACATTTTCAAACACATAAATGTCATTTTTCAAATTTTTAAAGGTGTGAAACATGTTTATAAAATAAATAAATTAATTAAAATATAAAACTAAACTTCATTAATAAAACATACACAATCATATATTTATAATTTAATAAATAAAAAATTAGTATTTTAAAAAATTTTCACATAAAATTAATATAACAAAATCATAACACAAATTTAATTTAATTTCAATAATATTGTAGTACTAGTACATATTCTATTTATATATAGACTATTAATCCGTTGGGCTTGTTAAAAAATTACTAATTAATTTAAAAATATATTGTAATCAAATTTTCTTTTACAAAATAAGATTCGATTCTTAAATTTTATAAAGGAGAGTATATTTGATTTTCTAAATCCAATTTTATATTTGATATTTTTAGAATAATGAACTGAATTTGATATGGTAATAAATGCATGAAATTATTAATAGATTCATTATTTAATATGCAAATCACTCTAACCGACATAAAATTAAAAGATCATTAAGAAGCCCAAAACTAATCATAAATCTCTCTCTCTATATATATATATATAAACCCTCGTTCAACTCACTTCATTGTTCTTTCTTTCCTAAATTCCCTCTCCATTACAAACTCTTCTCATAGCTCAACGCAACGGTTTCCTCAACTTCGTATTCTCAAATTTCAGGTAACTTGTTCATCAAGGTTTCTTTTATTCCTAATTGCAAAATTTTCAGTTTTAGATTCTCGTGAAGCTATGCGTTGGTTGAATGATTTAGGATTAGTGATGAGTGATGATTGATGATTTGATGTTGGGTATTATAAAGCTCAAATTTTTAGGGTTTGATTTGGGATATGATCAATTTGGGTATTGAAATGTTGATACAGTGATTAATTTGGATTTGGAGTGTTATTAGAATGTTGTTAATTTTTGGACTATCATGGATGTGAAAGGTCAAGGTTCAAATTTAGGGTTTAGTATGAATTGTGATGTGATCAAATTGGACATGGAAATGTTGATACAGTGGCTAATTTGGGGTGTTATTTGAATGTGTTTCTTTTTAGATTATCATGGATATGAAAGTGAATAGGTTCAAAAGAACTGAACGAGTCATTGGGACAACATGCATCTATTGGCTCCAAGGAAGATGCAACAGAAACCCGTGTAGGTATCTGCACAGTGAAACACCGTCGATTCTCTCAACTGCTTCTTATAGAGATGATATTGCATCAAATCATAATGCAAGGAAGCGTTGGCATGTATCCTCTGAGTCTACGAAGACGGTCTTACCTAGAAAGACTGAAAATGACATCTCGCCTCCCAAACATACTGCTAAGAAGGTCTTAAATAGAGATATGGGAGATGACAGAGAAAGGACACAAGTTCTTCCTCCGAAGCCTTCAAAGAGTATATGCAAATATTGGATGAATGACAACTGTGTTCATGGTGATCAGTGCCGGAATTTACATTCATGGTCTTATGGCAATGGGTTTGCCACATTAGCAAAGCTTCAAGGACACAAGAAGGTACATGGGCATTCCTAACCAAACTTAGAAAATTTGGCTTCTTTTTTAGTAATTGATAATTCTCAAGTAGTCTAATTAGAATATTTGTGAACAGCTTGTCACCGGAATTGCACTTCCAAATGGATCAGACAAACTTTATTCTGGCAGCACCGATGGAACACTTCGGTCATGGGACTGCCATACCGGTCAATGTGCCAATGTGATGAATCTTGGTGCCGAAGCTACCTCTTTGATTACTGAAGGGCCATGGATTTTTGTTGGTCTTCCTAACATTGTCAAGGTAAGGTCTTATTCTTACTTCAGTTATTGTTTTCTTCCATTGTATGGTTTGTCAATTATATAGGACGATTCTTGTAAGCTGATTATGTCATTGTGGTTTTTGTGAAGGCGTGGAATATTCAGACTGCTTCGCAGTTTACTCTTGATGGACCTAAGGGACGAGTACTTGCCATGACTGTTGGCAATGATACACTCTTAGCTGGAGCAGAGGTAACTACTACCCACCCACACATTGGTGTATGGTTGTTATGTAAATAAATAAGATTTTCAATCCTCTATTTGCTACTAGTTTTATAGTGTATTTTGTTCTCTTACTTCTGAAACAGTTAATTTCTGTTCATTTATGTTACATTTGATTTATTTAAATCACAGGATGGTGTAATTTCTGCATGGAGAGGCAGCTCTAAACCCAATTCTCCTTTTGAACTGGTTGCATCCCTATGCGGTCACACTAAATCTGTGGTTTGCCTGACTGTTGGGGCTAACAAGATGCTGTACTCAGGATCCAAGGATCAAAGCATTAAGGTATTTTGTTCTTCTATCTTAGCTCTACACAGTTGCTTGTTGCTTTATGTATATTTTGTTTGAAAATCATTTCTTATTGTTTTATTCAGGTTTGGGACCTAGACACATTTGAGTGCAAAATGACACTCAATGCACATGCAGACGAAGTCACGTCCCTTCTTTGTTGGGACAATTTCTTGTTATCCGGTTCATCAGACTGCACTATCAAGGTCTGGTATAAAACCATGGAGGACACTTTGGAGGTTGCATATTCACACAATGTAGAAAACGTAAGTTACTTAGCTAGTATTTTTAACATTTGTACATTGTTGAACATCATTCGGTTTGTAGTTGTCACATTGATATTTCTTATAACGGTCATGAATATCTTTTTTTATTCTGATTTTTACAGGGTGTTGTTGCACTCTCTGGGATGACTGATCCAAAAAATAAGCCTATATTGTTCTGCTCTACTAGAGACAATTCAGTTTGCCTCTATGAACTGCCATCGTAAGTAAACCTGCAACCATCACCATCACATTCTTATGTAAACTTGAATTGGTTCTTGACTGCATCTCTACATTTATGATTTACAGGTTTGCCGAGAGGGGTAGCTTGTTTGCCAAGCAAGAAGTTGGATTAATCGATATAGCTCCTGGTGGACTCTTCTTCACCGGAGACAGAACTGGGTTGCTGACTGTCTGGAAGTGGTTGGAAGAGCCCAACATTGCAGCAACCTCTTGAGACATGACACAGTTTATTTCCCTTTTGCTTTCTTCCACCAACTACTTAACACTGTTGATGGAAATCGCGTAATGCTTATAGTTTTAGGCAGGAGGTCGCACAATTCAATTTATTTTTTCTCCAATCGATTCATGATTGCTAATTGTAAAAGCAAATTTGTATATACTTAACAGAGCAATTCCAGTTCCATTTTTGCCATCTGCTGTTAGTTCGATGTGATTATTATAAAAAGCAGTTTATATTAAATAGAAAATTTCAATTCCATTTTCTCCTACTTTTTCTGTTTGTGGCATAAAATAACTTAAAATAAAAGTAAAAATATAGCAAGACTGTTCAAAAGCAAAATCCTAAGAAATCAAAAGTCAAATTTAGCTTTGTTTATTTAGATCGTATTGCAAGTTGTGTGGTGAATGTAAGTGTGATTACATAAAATGAGAAGCTATATGAAAAATACATGCAAGTGAGTCTGGATATTCATTAGAAATAGAAGACCCAGGTTTGACAACATGATTATAAAGTTATGGTGTCTTGCCATCATGTTGAACATCAGTCAAACATTCACAAAATATTTTATCTTGTTAGATATTTTAACATGCAAAGGACATCTCTTTTTAAAATTTATTTTTTTCTCAAAAAGGAGAAAAACGTGAAACTTAATTTCTAGCATTTTGAAATAATTAGACTCTCAATAGTTACTCAAGTGAAACAGTATAGCTAAGTGAAATAGCATAAAACTCTACCAGTGGTTATTTGTCTGAGGTATAAATTCGAGGGGAATTTTTTTCAACCTCTATAAGTTTTCCTTAATTTTTGGCAAAAAGTAAAAAATATCTTTATTTTTCAGAGATTCTGTTTTCCTACACAATAAGCGCAAATGAGTGAGCGTCTCTCATTTTGTTAAAATTTAATTCGAAGAGACATCTTCGTATATGTTTTAAGATGTGTCCCCGGATGCATCTCCGGATTCATGAGATTTTTCGAAGATGCATCTTCGAACGCGTTTACTTTATATATAACGCGCGGAAAGACGCTCTTCTCCTTCTTCATTTTTCTGAAAATATTCAAAAACTCCATTGAAGCTCGTGAATAACTTTCTTCCCGTCCATTTTTCAAGGATCAGCACTACCTCTACTTTAAATTTTCCAATTCCAACTCATTCCATTAACTACATTCAATATTTTTTCCATCCACAACTCTTTTGAATAAGTTTCTCATTTTATTTTATTTTATTTAGTTTTGATTAATGCATTAGGTAAAATTGGATATTTTAAATGCATTAGATAACATTCACATTTGAATAGGTAACTGTGAGAGACATGTATTATCATTTGGTTGCATTTAGGTAGGTTAGACAAAGACTGGTGTGCATTTCTGCCATTGTTGAGAAACACAAGCTTATTCAGATATGCATCTCTGAAAAGTGTTGTAATTGGTTCTTGGAGATGCATATCTGAAAAGTGTCATAAATGTAAATTAATGTAGTTTTCTGGTTTGTTTCAGGAAAAATGGCTGCAAACAATCCTGAGAGATTGAGACTTGACCGTGAAATCTAGCACGTGTTTGTTCGACGTGAGAGGGATAGACGTGAGAATGAGCAGGTCAGGGCTAGACAGAGAATCGTCCCTAGGGCTCATAACGGGGAAACATCGACTTCTAGGAGCCGCCTGTCTCATGGGTCCTCATCCCAGGGGCACCTGAAGCTCCTGAGGATTATGGACAGGAAGCTCCTATTGCACATGATGGTTTCCCTGTAGAGAGTTATCCATGAGGGCCCTCTAACACCTCCTTAATGATATATTAGAGATCGTGTTATTGGGCAATGTTTGAGTCAGAGATGTATATTTGTTGATTGTTATTTATATGTTTTATACAAATTTCCAACTACTGATATTGTTATATTTTTTAATAGGAGCGTGAATAATTTGAAGTCTATTAACCGCAACAGAAAGATTTTGCAGCTTTATCAGCTTGAGACTGATTGGTTCTAGAATATATCTGATACTCCGATCTTGGCGGCTTGTGTTGCTCCGGTTACAAGACCATTAGCCATCGCATGAAGGGGGATTTCGCATAGAGATGGCATAAAAAATGTCATTTTTACACTTCTTCATTGACGAGATGATGATTATAGACTACACGACGTTGCTTGCCTTCTACACCTTCCCATCAAGGGGAAAGTTACTTGATCATTCCATGATCAAACGTCACGAAGCTTGGAAGATGATGGTCATTTATTTTAGAGTTGACCTAGTTGATTCCCTGATGTAGTGTGAGAGCACCATATATGCTCATGCCAAATTTTGATACATGAATAAACTATATGTAGACAACTTGGAGTTGGTCGATGATGCCGACTACGATGATCTACATGTTAACTACCATTGAGGGTGTGCTTTAAGGTGTTACCTCATATTCTATGTTGACACGTCCATGTTTGTGGATAAACGTGAAACTTATGTCGATATAGCATACCTTAAGTACGCCATCGACCCGTTGACCATTTACGAGCGAAATTGGAAAGCCGCCTGTTTGGCATATCTGTACTCTAAGCTGAATGAGGTTTGTCTTTGGATGACAATGCAAATGACAGGTTGTTGCATCCTGCTGACTATAATCTCCATAGCTACTAATAATTTTAAAAGCATTTTTTATACTTGTTACTAAATTTTCTCTTATTCATTTTCAGGAATAGATTCTATCCCACTTTCATTGCATATACGAGTTTGATTGTGTGGTAGGGTATACTAGGGATTTGCCATGTGCTTGCATGTATTCCCCGTGCAGAGGTAATGATGGTGTGTGGTCGCTGTGTGTATATTGGTCGGACTGCACATGATGACATCGACTAGACACCAGCTCACCTGGACATTGTCGTCTCCGAACCTATTTTATTTTACTCTAGATGGCTGGCATGCGGGAGGAATACGATGTACATGTATCTTCCAGAGTGATCCATGTGTCAGTTTGAATATGTGCATATCATTTTGAGATCCCCCTTCGAGTTTGCTCTTGATATTATCGTCTGCAAACATCTTGATGACATACTGGCGTATTACGAGAGTCATTTCGTACTAGAGAAGTATCAGAGAATATTAGTCGCAAGTCAGTTGTCTTATATGGACGGTTACATGACTTGATTCTATAGTGTGTCACACCCTTTCATGACATCATATGCTCATAGACGTCCACCTAAGTCTGCTCATGAAGAGATCCTGGAGAATGAGCAAGTCAGGGATGACCATGTCATTGATGTGTTACAGATCTATCAAAAATATTATGTGGCTTACATATGGGGGCATAGATTATGGACAGTTGGAGAGAGGCGGTGATGATATGGATGCCCTCGCACGTGCCATTCTTACTGAGTCACGGAATGTCGGGTTACCAACGACAAAGAAGGATCCATGGAGTTAAAATTAGGCATATGCAATATGTGGCTTTTTTTTTCTTTTTTATTTTTTATTTTGGGACGTTTTAGTATTATTTTTCATACTTTGAGAACAATGTGTAATATTATGGAATATTTTTTTAATTAATGAATTACTTTGTTCTATAATGTGCGTGTTTATTATTATTTGAATCAAAATATTCCACTATTAATCGGGTTTAAATGACTTTGACTTCAAAAAAATACAAACTTAGGACAATGTTTCAGCCTATGATGCATGCAAGAAGTTTTTGGAGATGCATATTCGAAATAATGATGTTTAAATAGCTCAAAATAAACTTAGTGGTGTTTTCAGAGATGCATTGTCGAATTCACTCCATCTTTAGTTAAACTTAACCAATTGGAAATTTATATTCTCAAAAAAATTATACTATTAATCTAGACATTTTAATACTTCTAGAGTTGATAGGTAGAGTTGAGATATATATTTTTCAAATCTAATCAACATTTGAAACTCTGAATAGTTAGTTACAACTTGCTACAACAGTCTGCTTTATATATAGTTTGACTAGTTGACTTTTAATAATAGATTTTGACAATAGTATGTGTCAGTCTTGAGCCTGGGCCTAATACTTCACACCCTTTGGGTTGTTCCGTGTAAACTTCTTCATGAAGGAGACCATTAAGGAAAGTGATCTGACCTGATCAGAAGGTTTGGACCGTCACGGCTGGCTCCAAGCAGAAAGCTTTTTGAACGAGGAGGGGGGGTACCTGCAAGGCACTCCGATGCTAAAGTCAGTGGGAGTACGAGCAGATAATAGAGTTGAGGTTAGAATGATGAATACCTGACCCTCTGGAAACAGAGGGTATTTATAGCCCTCAGCGCTGGGCCAAGGTTCCTTCGTTGGGCTGGGCGGATTTGGCCCAATGGAGGAACTGCCAGGTTCTACGTGGATAGTGGGGACCCGCACGTGGTCCCCTTCCTGGATGTGCTGCGTGAAGTGCGGGCGGACGGAGACGCGGTCTTTTCGGAGTATCGTTGGGGGAACGGTGGACTGAGTCTGCCCTAGCCGGGTAGCTCGGGACCATGTCGAGCTGGGCAGCACGGTGCTGAGCTCGACGCCAGGACCTCGAGCTGGACGGCGAATGTCGAGCTGGACGCCAGGACATGGAGCTGACGGCAGGGTGTCGAGCACGACTTCACCGCGTGGGTTGGTCATCGGGATGTCGAGGTGGGCATCAGGGTGTCGGGCATGGACGTGACCCCCTCTGCCCAGTGTGGTCCTTAGTGAGTCCCTTTGGACTGGGCCTTAGTAATGCTTTTGGGCCTGTCGGGCCCAGTCCAGAACAGGAGCCCCCCAAGTCGTGGTTCCTTTGCGATGAGCCATGACTTGAAACCAAGTTGTTCCGTCGTTGAGGTCTCGTGCCCGGGATGGAGGTGTGGGCCCTCGAGGGGCCTCCTCGTGTCGTGCTCGGAGACGTCCTCGGTGGTGGATGCGTGGAGGATCCGTACTGGGTGCGTCGGTCGAGCACACGAGGCATCTTTCGGGAGTTGTGCCGCCACCCTAGGGGGGTAGGGCCATCATTGCGTTGGGAGCAGCGCGTCGAGGAG